TCGTGAGACAGGAGGCGACAAGTACAGGGGGCAGACTCAGGACCAGACCTGGACGCAGCAGCAAACACCTGACCCGACGCTGCTACCTGACCGGACGCGGGGACAGGAGGAGACTCAGTGGTCAGGGTGTAGAGGCTCGACCCCGGCCGACGCGAGAACGTGGCCAGGTGCCGGCCTGTGCGTGCGTCCGTGCAGTGGGTCACCCGCTGACTCGCAGGAGTGAACTGGTGAACCCCCGCATCCTGTAGGTCTGCACCACTCACCAAGTTCGTCGAGAACGAGGGGAGGTACAGGCCAGACAGGGTGCCCGAGGGGGCAGCCGGACACGGGAGGACAGTGGAGAAGTGAGCGAGGACAGGACCCCCAGAGGGGTCAGCCAGGGAGACTGCAACCGGCCGACCAAGCGGCGTGAGTGTGGTGCGGTCCCGAAAGAAGGAGCGAGAAGCCCCAGAGTCAAGTGTAAAGGTGAGGGAGGCCGAAGCCAACGCGGTACCTGAGAGCGCAGCCTCACCCGCACCTGAGGAAGCAGACTCACTAGCACCTAGAGCAGCAGCCGCACCTGTACCTGGAGAAGGAGACTCACTAGCACCCAGAGCAGCAGCCTCACCAGTAGCTAGAGCAGCAGGTCCTATACCTGGGCCGCGCGGGACGCACAGGTGACCGGCACGGTCAGCACTAGTAGGCAATGCATACATGGCAGTGAGAATAGCATCATAGTCAAGAGCATATATATCTACCCTCTGCCTAAGCAACTCCACCCAGTCGGGAAGCTCAGCCTCGTCGCCAAACACGGTACGCCAGGCGTCGCTCAGACGGGCGAAGCAGCGGGACGATGTATGACTACGTGTCCCACAAGGCTGACCAGTCCGAGTACCAGTGCGAATCACGTAAGAGCAGCGAACAGCACTGAGAGACCCTCCACTCTGAGCGTACCACTCACGAAGCTGGCGAGGCGTGAGAGACACGCGAGAGGGTCGCGGGAGCTGCATCTGGCCGCCACCACGAGTAGAAGCAGCAGGAGTGGTAGTAGGAGTAGCGTCGCCACCCCTACAGCCCCAACCAGCGTACCACTCACGCAGCTGCTGGGGCGTGAGGGACTCACGCCGGCGTCGCTGGGGCTGCATTTGGCTCCGCAAGTAGAAGCAGGAGCAGGACTAGCAGCAGGGAGGCAGGCAGCCAGGCAAGCCAAAAGGCAGGCAGGCAGGCAAGCAGGCGACGCGCAGCGTGCTAGCAGGGCAAGAGCTCACCAGTGGTGGGAAGAGTAGGCTCGGCGACTCAGCGGCTCGGCAGCTCGGCGGCTCGGCGGCTCGGGCGACTCGGGCGGCTCGGCGGCAAGGCGGCTCAGCAGCAACTGCCGCTCAGCAGCTCGGTGACTCGGCGGCTCAGCTGCAGGGCGGCTCGGCAGCAACTGCAGCTCAGCAGCTCAGCGACCCGGCGGCTCGGCGGCAGGGCGGCTCGGCTGTGGGGCGGCTCGGCTGCTGCAGGTGAGCGGCTCGGCTGCTGCAGTGGGAGAGGAAGGAGGAGGAGAAGCAGGGGAGGCCACACACCTGCCACCCCTCTGCAAGCGGCCCCCTCAGGTCGCCTCGACAGGCGACGGGAAAAGGGGGGGTGGGTGGTGGGGGCCGGTAGGTGCAGCGGCGGGGCCAGCAGGTGCAGGTGCGGGGCCGGTAGAAGGGGACGGCAGGAGCCGTCAGGAGGGGACGGCGGGGCCGTCAGGAAGGGACGGCGGGGCCGTCACGAAGGGACGGCGGGGCCGTCAGGAGGTGACCGGGCCGCGACGGGGGCAGGCGGCGGGGCCGCGTAAGGGCCTGGGCGGGGCCGCGAAAGAGCCGTCGGCGGGGCCGCGTGAAAGCCGGGGCGGGGCCGCGTAGAAGCCGGGGCGGGGCCGCGCGAGAGCAGGCGGCGGGGCCGCGAAGGAGCCGGGGCGGGGCCGCGTGAGAGCAGGCGGCGGAGCCGCGTAAGGGCCTGGGCGGGGCCGCGACAAAGCCGTCGGCGGGGCCGCGTGAAAGCCGGGGCGGGGCCGCGTAGAAGCCGGGGCGGGGCCGCGCGAGAGCAGGCGGCGGGGCCGCGAAGGAGCCGGGGCGGGGCCGCGCGAGAGCAGGCGGCGGGGCCGCGACAGAGAGGGCGGCGGGGCCGCGTCAGTGAAGGCGGCGGGGCCGCAGGGGAAATGGCGACCCGAGGGGTCGCTAAAAAAAAAAGATCGCGCCTCGGGGGGCGCTTCGGTGGGCCCAAAAAAAACGGTCCGTAGAAGGACCCGCTCTATACCATGTCAGAATCAACGAACAGGAATGGATCAACTAGAAGTGAAAAGAGTACAAGTAGTAAACCCTAGAATTGTGTACCCCCTATGGGCTAACCCACTGTAGCCTACACAAGTATAACATATATAATGTTTGACACGGAGCTCCAGAGTTTCCTCGGATTCGTAAATTACGTTCGGAGGTTTATCCCGAATATGGCGGTGATAACCGGCCCGCTGACCGGCCTGCTGCACAAGGACAAGAATTTTGTGTGGGGGCAGGAGGCAGGAGCGGCGTTCCAGGACCTCAAGAATTTTCTCGTGTCCCCTCCTGTGCTGCGCATCGCCGATCCATCGAAGCCGTTCGAAGTGGTAACCGACGCCTCAGATTTCGCCATCGGAGCTGTGCTCCTCCAAGATTTTGGGAACGGGTTGCAGCCGATAGTTTACGAATCACGCAAGCTGCAGGCAGCCGAACGCAACTACCCGATCCACGACAAGGAGATGCTCGCCATTATACACGCATTCAAACTATGGCGATGCTGCCTGGTGGGCGCCGACGTCACTGTTCGCACGGACCACAAATCCCTACAGTACCTGCGAGCCCAACCCAACCTCAACCCACGACAGATTCGATGGCTCGACTACATGGAGAGCCATTTCACCTACCGCATCACGTACAAAAAAGGGGCTAATAACATCGCCGACGCCCTGACCCGACCGACAGTACAAATCGCTGCTGTACTCATCACCCACTCGAACCTGCTACTTACCGGACTATTCACCCACGGCTACACGACAAACCCCTTCTTCACAACGGGAAACCATCAGCAGACTACGACGCAGAAAGGGGACTATTACCTAAAAGCCGGAACCGACCGGATTTGGGTTCCCGCTTACCGTCTGTTGCGTGAGCTCCTCATCCAGGAGATACACGATTCAAACCTCTCCGGACATTTCAGGGTCGATAAGACACAGAAACTACTACACCGTCACTATTACTGGCCTGATTCCTCTAACGACGTGCAGCGCTATGTGTCCTCATGGAGGGTGTGCCAAGCAATGAAATCGACACGTCAGCGACCAGCTGGATTGCTGCAACCCCTCGAGCCACCCGAACGACCGTGGCAACAAGTGACGATGGATTTTGTCACGGGGATGCCAGCTGGGCCGACAGGCAACGACGCTGTTCTCGTCGTCGTCGACCGCTTCACGAAAATGGCGCACTTCGCACCATGCCGAACGACCATCACAGCCGAAGAAACTGCGCGACTTTTCATATCGACGGTCGTGCGATTGCACGGTCGTGCGATTATCAGCGATCGCGACCCAAAATTCACATCCAAATTCTGGAAGGAGACATGGGCGCAATACGGCACAAAGCTACAGTTCTCATCGGCTTACCACCCGCAGACCGACGGTCAAACAGAGCGGACCAACCAGACCATGGAGCAGTTAATTAGGACAAACTGCCCCGATCCTGCCCGCTGGGAAGACTCGCTCGCAATGCTGGAATTCGCTTTCAACAACGCACCATCCAGCACGACTAATCACTCCCCATTTTTCTTGAATTATGGGATGGACCCGGCAGTTCCGACGACAACTACACTCGACAATCCGGTCCCGCGTTCCCAGACTTTCGTGACGGAACTCCAGGAAGTCCGCGAAAAAGCCGCCGACGCAATTCGCAAAGCGAATATTACTTCCCGCAAATACACCAACCTTCTTCGCCGGGAACTCGTCTTGACTACTGGGCAACTAGTCCTCCTCGACACGAAAAACCTGAACCTGCCCGGCCCTGCGAAACTTCGGCCACGATTTTGCGGACCGTTCAAAATCCTCAAGATGGTGACACCTGTCACCGCGAAGCTGTTGCTACCCGACGATTGGCGTATACATGACACGTTCCACATCAGCCTTCTTCGGAAGTTCGTGCCTACCACGACCGACATCGCACGTCAGCAAGCGGCCCCGACAGCTCGCCCCGTCCCGGAGCCAACAGTTGACCCTTCCAAGATTCTCGCTCATCGAATCCGCCTTGATGCCGCTGGACGCCACGTGGATTTCTTAATTCGCTGGACCGACCGCACAAGTGAGGACGACACGTGGGTGTCATCCGCTTCAATGGACGCCTCGACACTTGTTGGTGATTATCTAGCGCGACGGCGTGTTTCGGCCATTGACTACCTTTCTTAAGGGGGGGGGGGGTGGTGTAAGGAATTTTCCCGAATTCCTTATCGGGGTTGACTGCTTCGCGTACAACCCGATTTTCGGAGTTCGCACGTTCGGCCGATTTCAACGCTGCCGAGGCTACTCACGTCGCCTTCGGCTTTCCCATCGCCAAACCTGCACCCAACCTCGCTCGTCCGAGGTTTCCTCCTAGCTAGAGTAGTCCTACATTAGTCTGTGCATTCATTGTATTCGCAGTTGATTCAGTCACAGCTTCGTTGTTCGTTTACCTGCGCGCTCTCTTTTACAACTCATAACACATAGGCCGCTTTTGACTCCACAATTGTTGTAGAATACATCATGCAGACCACAACCTCTCAGCTGAAGAACCTCAAAATAATAATAATACCTAGCACTGCACAATGCTCTTGTGATTTTTTTAAGCAGGCCGAACAATCAGAAACTCAAGACAGTTACATATTCACACACTTCCACTGGCCGCCCTGGAACACGCCTACCACTCTTGAGCACGCCAAAAATCTATCAATCACGCTACGGGTGGTGGTGGTGCTGGTGCTGCTGGTGTGGCTGTTCACTTGCTCTTGACGGTGATGCCATCAGAGCCAGCGATGATGACAGTGGTGGCCATGTCCAGGAACAGCCCGTGGTCCACCACGCCCTGCAGCCCATCGATCGCCTTGGCTGCTGCGTACGAGTCCTTGATGGGCGTCTGGTGGTGGTGGTGGGAGGGGGAGACGAGCAGCATGGGCGTTTGTTTGTTTCTTTTGGTTTGCTTTTGTTTGTTTGTTTTCCCTGTTGTCTATGTTCAAAAGGGAGCACAAGGTGTGGAGCATCAAGTGGACAGAGGCAAGGCAAAGCAGGGCAAGCAAGCAGGCACCTTGAAGTAGAGATCGACAATGTAGTTGGAGTTGTCAGTCACATACGGCTTGTCCCCCTCCATGCGCAGCTTCGCCTGCGACAGCCACACACACGTGCAAGCACATACACGCACACGTGCACGCACACATGCACGCAAGCACACAGCATAGCACACACACACGCAAGCACACAGGCAGCAGACACGGAGGGTAGACAGCGCAACGTTTCGTGCGGAAAGAATGCCACCTACACTTCACAGCAGCCATTCGATTGTGTCCAAAATACCCCAAAGCAGTCCTCCTCCGCTCATCATCCCTCCATCATCACACCCACCGTCAGCCTGGACTTTCTCAACCTTTGCCCCTCTCTGCTCCTCACCTCGCACCCAACAACCTCCGGCAAGCTCTTGAGGCGGTTGAGAGTTTATTGCCCTGCCCTCCCCCTCCCCTGCCCTCCCCCTTCCCTGCCCTCCCCCTCCCCTGCCCTCCCTCCCCTGCCATCCCCTGCCCACCCTGTCTGCTCCTCACCTCGCACCCAGCGACCTCCGGCAGGGCCTTGAGGCGGTTGAGCGTGTATTTCCAGCAGAACTGTACAATCTCCACCGGCATTGCCAGCCCACTGCCGCCCAGACCGTCCACCAGCTGGTGAGGGGGAGAGATAGAGGGGGGGAGGTGGAGGGGGAGAAGAGGGGAAAGGAGGGGAGAGGGAGGGAGGTGGGGGAGAGGAAGGGGGGAAGGAAGAAGGGAAGAAGGGATGGTGAAGGGGAAAGCAAGGGGGGGAGAGGAGGGTGACAAGAATGGGGAGAATATTGAGGCGTCTAAGAGATCAAGAGGGCCTTGAGGAGGGCGTGGATGGATGGATGGACGGACGGACGGACGGACGGACGGACGGACGGATGGATGGATGGATGGATGGATGCAGGGATGGGCGAGCGGGTTACATACCTTGGTGTCGTCGACAATCACAATGAACTTGGCCGAGGCCTGCTCCACCATCTGCAGAGAGCAGAGAGCGCAGGGGAGGCGCAAAGGTAAGACAAGACAAATGTGAGGCCATGCGGTTGCAGATTTTGAGACATCTGCAAGATGAGGGTAGAAGTTACATCACCATGACCAGCACCATCATCTACTCACCATCACCCACCCACCATCACCATCTCTCTTCCGCCCAGCTTAACACCTGTCCTTCCTTCCCCTGCCCTCTTTTCCCCTCGTTGACCATCCCCACTCTCTTTTCCCACACACATCCGCGCCCCTGTCCCTCCCCTCATCAGCTACCCGCTTCCCTCCAAAACATCTGTTCATTGCTCTCCCACTCTCGCCCCTTTCCCCCCCACTCTCATCCCTCGCCCCACAACCCCACCCCCTCCTCTCCGTCCGCAGCCCCCCCTTCCCCCCGTCCCCCCGTCCCCTGCGCGCGCACCTTCTCGCGCAGCAGCGCGCCGCCGCGCCCCTTGACGAGGTTGAGGTCGGGGTCGACCTCGTCAGAGCCGTCGATAGCCACGTCCAGCTTGGGGTGGTCGTCCAGGACGGAGAGGGGGATGCCGAGCGACAGCGCCTGCTCCTCCGTGCGCTGATGCGCGCAGCGCAGGACGACGGGGGAACGGGGAATGGGGGGAGCGGGCGCAGAGGGGACAGGGGGGGTAGAGGGGGCAGATGACAAGGATAGGATGGGGGGAGGTGAACGGGTGAGAAAAGTTGAGGGGGAAAGCGGGAGGGACTAATACAAACGCGGATGAAGGGTTGGTAAGAGAATTCGTGTATACATGGGAGGGGAGGGTGGGGAGTGAGGGGCGTGGGGGTCATTGGGGGAACGGAAAAGTAGGGGGAGGGGAGGAGGAGGGTAGGGGAGGGAGAAGGTGGGGGTGGGGGCCTGGTCGGTAGTGCATGGGACATGGAGCATGGAGGATCGAACATGGAGCATGGAGGATCGAACATGGAGCACGGAGGATCGAACATGGAGCATGGAGGATCGAACATGGAGCATGGAGGATCGAACATGGAGCATGGAGGATCGAACATGGAGCATGGAGGATCGAACATGGAGCATGGAGGATCGAACATGGAGCATGGAGGATCGAACATGGAGCATGGAGGATCGAACATGGAGCATGGAGGATCGAACATGGAGCATGGAGGATCGAACATGGAGCATGGAGGATCGAACATGGAGCATGGAGGATCGAACATGGAGCATGGAGGATCGAACATGGAGCATGTGGCATGCGGCGCGTGTGGGATGGGAATGGGGCGTGTGGGATGGGAATGGGGCGTGTGGGATGGGAATGGGGCGTGCGAGTGTGTGTTTGAGGGAGTGAGTGAGGGAGTGTGTGAGTTAGTGAGGGAGTGACTAACCTTGGAGGTGGGGATACCGACGATGTCCTTGAGCTTGCCCTCCTGCACACACCACGCCATTTGCGGATGCGAGACCGATCGCCCGCGCGATGGAGGGAGAGAGGAGGGACGGATGAGATGAGATGAGATGAGATGAGATGAGATGAGATGGGATGGGATGGGATGGGATGGATGGAGGCAAGGTTACGCGGGACGCACGCTGGAAGAAAAGAATCGAATGAGTAGAGTCTTGCGACGCGCACGCACGCGGGCACGACGCAATGCACGCGTGGGCGAAAAGGAACGAGAGCGCGAGGGCGAAGCGACGCGGGTCATAGCAGGGAGACAGAGAGAAGAAAAGGAAGAGCGAGAAAGAACAATGGCGAGAGTGCCGCAAAGCACGCTAGAATGGCACGCGAGCCAGTGCACGAGCACGCACGCGATCCAGACCAGAACGCACCTTGAGCAGCTCGCCGATCTCGGCGACGGCGAAGGGCGCAAGCGAGCGAGCGAGCACCTTGAGCACGCAAGCCAGCGAGCACGCACGCGAGCCGAAACGCACCTTGAGCAGCTCGCCGATCTTGGCGACGGCGAAGGCGGCCGTGGAGCCCGTGCCCAGCCCCACCACCATGCCGCTCTTCACGTACTCCACCGCCTGGTGGCGCGCGCGCGGGGGAGAGGAAGGGAGGGGGGGGGGGGGGGGGGGGGGGGGGGGGGAAAGGGAGGGAGGAAAAGGGGATGGTTAGTAGGACGCGATAGGACATGCCGCTCTTCACGTCCTCCACCACCTGGCACCGCGCGCGCGAGGGAAGCGCGGAGACAATGGAGAGTTGGTTACGTCGCTCTTTACGACTCATTAGTACATTGTAGGTTGTTTTTTAGAAATCTACCCAGATTCCGCTTTTCCCCCACCCGCCGACACCACCGCCCGCTTACCCCCCTTCCTCCCCCCAAACCCCCCATTCCGTCCGCATTCCCCACCACCCCTCTCACACCCTCCACGTCGCTTCCCCCTTCTTCCCCCATGCCTCCCGACCCGTATTCCCCCCCTCGCGCATGCTTCCGCCGATTCCCGTGCGCGCGCGCGTACCTTCTCCGCCGCGAGCTTCTTCAGGTCGTCCTGAGAAAGAGCTGCGGAAGGAAAAAGGAGTGAGCGGGGGAAGAACGGGGGAGGAATGGGGGAGATCAGGGGAGAGCGCGGGGGACGGGCGTGAGGGGAATCAACAGTGACGTAGCATTTATCATCGAGATAAGAGATATGGCGGCTTGTCACGCCGCGATACGCGGCGCCTCGGACTAGGCAACGAGAAGCAATGACGGAGGGCACGGTGGGAGAGGGATGCGCAAGAGACGTTGGCCGATAGACAGGAAATATGCGATTCGGGCGCCAAGCAAGAAACAGGAAAATGTTAACTTGGCACCTAACAAGTCCAGTAACTCAAGCGTTTTTGAAGGGAAATGCTTGTGCTTTAAGGGAATTCGCGATCGCATGCCAGCGAAGTCGAGCTATCGAGCGAACTCGCTGACAAAGATCCCCCTCTCCGACGCGGCTTACGTCGCGCGAGCCGTATTCGCGTCGCGCTTTCTTGGATACACTCCCCGCAGGAAGTGCTAAGCGGCGGAGAGGCGTTGTGACAAGGACAGGCCGAGATACGTGGACGAGACTCGTGCCATTGGAAGCGCAGAAGAAAGATAAGGACAAGGCAGGCGAGGCACGCAGCAGCCCCAACAGCGGCAGCGACGGCAGCAGAAACCCGCACCTGCGCGCGCGACCGACGGGGACATGGCCGCATTCCTGGCAGCGCCGGCCTCACGTGTCACCAGGCGCGCTCCGGCGAGATCCCTCGACTCGAGCGACGCGCCGAACGCGGGCTTCGCGACGAAACGCGCGGCGGACGACTTGGCGACTGCGGAGGATTGCAGCGCGGATCCGGCAGCGGCGGCAACGTGCGCGGAGGCAGACATTGTGGTGGAAGCCATGGTTGAAAGCGAAGGAAAAGGAGGAACACAGCAGGAGCAGCAGAAGGCAGAGCAAGTGGCGCGGAAAGCAAGTCCCAAGGGTAAGTGAGGTTTGAGAGGTTTGGGGTTTAGATGAGGTCAGGACCCAGGATTGGAATGAGGGCGCCTCGGACGACTCCTGGCTGGTCAGGAAAGATTCAGCAGTAGGAAGGGATTGGTGGAAGTTTATCGAAGTGCTAAAATCGAGGGAAAGTGGCGATGACGAGTGCTAAAATCGAGGGAATTATGGTTGTTGAAAAGAGGGGCGGACATTCAAGGGCCGCTCCTGTCCTCAGAAAGTGACGGATGACGTGGCATGAGTGCAGGATTGGTTCGGGCAGGGTGTGGTGAGGGTGACTGGCAATGGGATCTGCTGGTTGGTCCGGTTGCGGATCTAGTTGGGGCAAACTGATGAGGTGTCAGAATTTCACGGCCAGGACCTCGATCACTCAGCAGGATGATGCCACGCCTGCAAACCAGCTGCAGTCCTGCTTGCATAATTTCTGCAGTAGATGCCATCGGAAAAGAACACTGCAATAAGATAATACGGTGCGGATTCTCTCATGATACATACCGTACTCAAACTGAAACCTCGGCAATCCACTCTCATGCTGTCTTAATCAGAACATAGGCATCTACATTCTAAGAATAACGAAGTCACAGCTCCGATCATGATCAAATTGGAATTTTAAATAGCTGATTATGACTCTGTACACCCCTCTAAGGTAGTCCTCAGTACATTATTATCCTAGATGCTTCTTCTGATACAATGCTCAGACCCAGACCCAAAATGCTCCTGCAGGCAGAATAGCAGAACGTCCACCAGCCCACTGAAATGCCACAACTTCATCCCCTCAAGTGCCACCACAAGCACCTCAATTGTACATGTGCTGGCATCTGACCTTGGGTTATGAACCAACCCCAGTAACAAAGAATACACCCCCTAAGTCTAAGCCTTCCAATCACACCCTGAGTTACGGCCTTTCTCCACTGCCTCCCACGCTGCTATTCCCCAAAACCCCCACCTCTCATGGAACATCAATACTACCACCAAGACTCCACCAATAAAACACTCCCAAGTATTCTGACAGCCCCCTGTCCTCCCCTCCTCTCTTCTGCTGCACTTGTCCCATCCTGAACCATAGTCAACCAAACAACACCACACTATCCCCCCGATCTTCAACCCAACCTGCCACCCCATCAGCATAACCTCCCCAGCTTGCATCGCAACTAGCAGAACCCCCCCTTAGCCTTGGCGGGTTTCTTGGTGTCTGAGATGACAATGTTGGCCTTGGCTTGTTGCTGGGCCATGGCATATTGGGCACACACGACAAAAAGTTGACAGGAAAGTTTTAGGGCGCCAAGAATGGGAGATCAAAGGTCGTGATATAAAAGGGACTACAAACTGGTTCAAAAGGTGCATGAATGTATGCTACACGTGCATGCGCACGTGTGCATACGAGATGTTGTGCAGAGCTTGTGCGTGACTGCACCGTCCAACCACACAAGGGAGTGGTATGAATGAACATGGGGTGTGTGCATCCACACGAGGGACAGGGCAGGGTGGGGATACATGCATGCCGCCATAGGGTGACGAGCTATGGGACAGGCACCACACAGAATGAAGCAGCAAAGGACCATGGGAACAAACAGCAACGGGCCGAAAGCACAAGCGATGAGGGAAAGGATGAGGAGGGGAGGGGCATGGGTGTGGCAGGCAGGAGTGTGTTCGTGGGTACCTCGGGCCTGTCTTCTGCGCTCTCAGCGAGGCGCTGCTTGATGTCCCGTGCGATGGTGAAGAACACATTGTCCACGTTCAGGTTTGACTTGGCACTCTGAGGCATGAGCGTGCATGCATGTATGCATGCATGCGGGCGGGAGGGGGCAGGCGGGCAGCGGGCAGGTAGTGTGTGTGCATGAGTATGTGAGTGCGTGAGTGAGAGGAGGAACGAAGCAAATCTACATTATGGGATCGGCGGGTAGCGGCATCACGGGTATGGACTGGAGGGGCCAAAGAAAAGAAAAGTGCATGCTTCTGTATGCATGCCTGCATGTGCATGTGAACATGACCATGTGTGCATCCGTATGTGCAAATGAATGTGTGTCTGTACGTGCATCAGTATGTACATATGTACATATGTGCATGTGCGAATGTGAGCATGTGAGCATGTCTCACCGCTTCAAAGAACTTGATGTTAAACTCATCTGCCAGAGCCTGACCCCTTGCTGCTGGCACTGCCTGTTCGGCGGTTACAGTTCACAACAGGGGCGTATGGCATAAAAGAGGGACAGGAGAGAGAGACACGAGGGAAGACAACGGGACGCCGGGATTAAGAGAGAGGTGGGATCATTGGTAGGTGAAGTAAGACGGGGGGTGGAGAGGATGGGGGGAGTGGAAAAGGTGGGAAGGGAGGGATGTAGGGAGCACGCAGAAGGGGAAGGGAAGGGAAGCAACGGCAATGCACGTATGGGCATGCGTGTGTGCACGTGCGTGTGGGAGTGTGTGTATGTGTATGTGGAAGGGGGGGCGGGAGAGGGGAGGAAGGGGTTTGAGAGCAAGTGAGAAGAGTGAGAGAAAAGAGATAAAACGAGCAAGCAAGTAAGTGAGAGCGAGAGTGAGCAAGTGTGTACCCGTTTACTCTCGTCCATGTCTGCCTTGTTCCCCACGAGAATTTTGTTGACATTCTCAGATGCATGCTGCTCTATGTTGCGGATCCAGTTGCGGATGTCTGCACCGCACAGCCGGGGAGAGGAAGGGGAGACGGCTCAGAAAGGCAACATGCAGTTGTGGCAGTGGTAGCAGAGGTGGCATAGCATAAACGACAGTACGACGAATGCTAGTGTAGTCTCAGATTGAATCAGAGATTTGCAAGCGCCAAGAGGCGCAGTGCATTGCTCGAAAGCCTGGGAGTAGCGCTCCTAGCATTGGAAAGTGGTGACAGTGCTAGGTAAACGCAATCTAAGAGCTCCCATAACACAACTATGGCACAAGGGGACTCAAAATGCACAATCTGAAGCACTACATCGAGAGGTGAGAGCATGAGAGCGCAAAAAAGGGTCTGCAATGGGTCTCACTGTTGAAGGATGACTCATCCGTGACGTCATACACCAGAAGGATGCCCATGGCTCCACGGTAGTACGCTGCCATACCATGCCATGCCATGCCATATCATGCCATGCCATATCATGCCATGCCATGCCATGCCATGCCATACCAAGCCAGTGACACAGGGGAAAAAGAATTATATTGTGTATGAACATTACAGAACTGCCCAACCACCAGCACTACATGTTTTCAGACCCATAAGTTCATCTTTCCAGCGCCAAGGTCATCCTTTCAGCCCCATCAACTCATACACGCCACCATTCCCCAACCGACCCCTTACCCGTCCCCACTTCTGCACACCCGGCTCTCTTCTGCCCGCATCCCTCTTACCCTCCTTCTTTACCTCAGCTTCACCCCTCCTTCCGTTTTCGTCTCAACATAACCATTTCTTTTTCTAGCAACCCTCCGCCCCCCCTCTCTCCCCCACATACCACCCGAGCCTTTTTGGAGACTTCTCTTTCCCTGCAGTTCCCCCCCAAATTGAACTTTCACACAATATCACTCTCCCATCACCCCCCCGGCCCCGTCCTCTTCCCCTTCGCCCCCGCGCACCAGTGGTGATGGTGCGGAATCGCTCCTGCCCGGCGGTATCCCAGATCTGCAGCTTGATGCGCTTGCCGTCCAGCTCGATCGTGCGGATCTTAAAGTCGATGCTGCCGTCATACGCACGCGCGCCACGGCACGGAGAGGAAGAAGGAGACGCGTGGAGGGAAAGGCGGGAGGAGAGGGGAAGGAGGGTAGGGGGGAAGGAGAAGGGGTGAACGAGCGGAGGATGAGAGGAGCAGTACAGGGAACGTGGGAGGGGAGATCGAGAGGAGCAGGTACATTTACGTCAAGAGGGAACGAGAATCGATGTTGAAATAAAGGACGGCCAAGGGCAGCGACGCGCGACTTATGAGCACACGAAACAAAGTGTTCTTAATATTTTGCACCATGAGCTTGAGATCAACGTGGATAGACCTATCAGGTATGCCTCGAAGCTGAAAGACGCACCCGTTGGTGGTTCAAGGAACAAAAAAACACTCGAAAGGCGCAACCGGCGGTGTAAAAAAAACAGCAAACACTCAAGAGAGACACCAGATGCTAATTTTATTTTCTCTGAACGGGCAAAAAAAAATATATGAAAAAGACACACCCGATGGTGGTGATGAAGGACGTGGTGAAAGAGTCGTCAGAGAATCGCAGCAGCAGACAACTCTTCCCCACACCTGCGCGTCGCCCGTCGCGCGCGCCGTGACACGCGGATCGTCGTGGGCAAAACGAGGAAGAAGATGAGAATGGTAATTAAAAAACAGGCGAGGAGAAAAGGGAACGACCGAAAAAGTTAGGGTATGCATGATGTTGAACAATGCACGGGACATACGACGCCATGGGGCGACGAATGCGAGTTTGAATGGCAGGCCAAGGAGAAAAAACTCAGCGCGGAAGGGAATGCGGGAAAGTGTGAGGAGAGTGGTGGGGAAGCCTCGTTGTCGTCGCGCCATCAGCGCATTTTACGACAAACAATAACTTCATTTTTCTCGAGATTAAGAAGGAGAAGAGGATCGCACACGCGCAACGTACCGCTATCGCCTATCAGGAGCAGTTTTATAAGATAGTCATAATCGGCTCTGGCCCTCCCGCCGCCTCCGCTTGCCATAGCGCGACCAAGCGACCCCTCACGTGCGCTCTACGGCAGGCGCTGATGCGATCGCAAGCTCCGTTTGCATGCACCAGGCCCCGGAGACAACGCTTATCCCTGGTGCATGCACCAGGTCTAACAAATAGAATATTGCTCAAGCAGAACTGGCTTCGCTTGCCGCAGCAACCAGGAGTAAAAACTGAAATAGAGACTAAATAAAATAAAAATCGACGACTACAGGTCTAGCTTCACGGA